AACCATTTTTTTACGTTTATTCTACAATTTATCTCTCGATTTCAAACATTAAAAATTTTGTTTTTGTTGCAAATTTATTATTATTCTTAACTTTGGAAGTGCTGTCTAAACCCCTCGCTCAAAACCAAATAAAAATTTGCATCAAATATCAGTGTTTTTCATGACAATTTCAGTTTCTTGATGTGGGTCTTCAATAAATTGATAACTTTTTGCTCTCAAATTTTTACTGTTAAGTTTTCACATTTATTGCAACATCATGTAATACAAATTTTAATAAATATTATAAATAGCTCAAAAAAAGGGAACGAAAAACAAAAATGAAAATATTTTTAAAGTAAAAGTAGTTTTCATGATTTGACGAAAATCGAACTTGAAAGACTCAAAGAGAAATGGTGGAGTAAGAACCCAGAAGCAATGAAATGTGATAAACAAGAAGACCAATCCGATGGAATTAGCATTCAGAATATTGGAGGTGTTTTTATTGTCATTTTTGTGGGGATTGGATTGGCTTGTATCACGCTAGCGTTTGAGTATTGGTGGTATAAATACAGGAAAGGGGGGAAAGTTGTCGATGTTCAAGGCAAACAACATTCTGGGATGAAAATTAATGATGGGTTTCATGCGAAAATAAATAAATTGTATCCACGTTCACGGTTTTAAAAAGTGTTAAAAGAACATTGCACGGGTTTGTAATGTTTGTTTGTGCACCAAAAAAACGTTTTCCATTTGTTTGTGTTTCACTCTCAAGAACTGGGGGGAAATAATGTAGTCTGCAATGTAAACCATTAGAGAGAGAAAGTAAATGTTAGAAATTTCCGATGCGTAACAAAGACAGAGATATGGAAAAAAAGTCTAAGTCCGCGTTTATTTCAAACGTTTTTGGAAAACTTTTGCTTGATTTTTTTATAGTCGTTAAGTTTATGAATTAGTGTGTTAATATTATCAATCTGTTTTATATTTATTTTAACATTGTAAATAAATTTCTGAACAAGATTATTGCCATAAAAACACTTAATTTCCCTTAAACAACTTTCTTAATTACACCTTCTGAAGGTTTTATTAACCCATCTCTGTCTTTCTAATTAAAAGAAGGTATATAAATCCTTGAGTTTTGTTTTGTTGCAAACAGCGTTCAAAATACATTAGAACGTTGATTATCTAGCATAATGATAATATTTTTGACCTAATTCTGTAATTTTTTCTTTGCTTTTACCGAAATTTAGCGAAATAATTACGTTTTTACCTGAAAACGTGCTGAAACGCTCGAGGAATATAATTTTTGACTTATTTTGTAGTTTTTTTTTGGGTTTATTTTAGCAAAATTTTGCTAGTTTTCAGTAAAAAACAGCTAGAAAGCATTTTCGACCAAATTTTGTGGTTTCTCGACTTATTCTTACTCAAAATCGAGTGAAACAAGCAAAATTTAAGCGTTTTTGGATAGATTTTGCAAAATAAATGAGCCTCTAGTTCAAAAACACAGTAAGTCAAGCAAAACAAGCTAAAAATAATATCAATTTCGATTTAATTTTGTAATTTTTTACTCTGTTTAAACAAAATTTTTTGTTAAAAAAAATTGCGTAAACGAAAAAAGGCAAAAATAACACACTTTTTGGCCTATTTCATTGTATTTTTGATTTGTTTTTAACGAAATTTTGCAAAAATAATACTAAAGCATTCGAAAAAGACAAAAGTAAACTGTTATTTTCAATTTAGTAAAATTTCGTAAAAAAAATCTACTTGAAAAACTTGGAAAATATACTCGAAAAAGATGCAAATGTTTCATTAAAGAAATTAATTAATTAATTTTTACATTAGCTTCAAGCTTTTTTTCCAACAAAACAACCATTTTTTTACGTTTATTCTACAATTTATCTCTCGATTTCAAACATTAAAAATTTTGTTTTTGTTGCAAATTTATTATTATTCTTAACTTTGTAAGTGCTGTCTAAACCCGTCGCTCAAAACCAAATAAAAATTTGCATCAAATTTCAGTGTTTTTCATGACAATTTCAGTTTCTTGATGTGGGTCTTCAACAAATTGATAACTTTTTGCTCTCAAATTTTTACTGTTAAGTTTTCACATTTATTGCAACATCATGTAATACAAATTTTAATAAATGTTATAAATAGCTCAAAAAAAGTGAACGAAAAACAAAAATGAAAATATTTTTAAAGTAAAAGTAGTTTTCATGATGAACTTTGCACGGGTTTGTAATGTTTGTTTGTGCACCAAATAAACGTTTTCCATTTGTTTGTGTTTCACTCTCAAGAATTGGGGGGAAATAATGTGGTCTGCAGTAAACCATTAGAGAGAGAAAGTAAATATTCGAAATTTCCAATGCGTAACAAAGACAGAGATATGGTAAAAAAAGTCTAAGCTGTTCTTCGTTTATTTCAAACGTTTTTGGAAAACTTTTGCTTGATTTTAATAACTTCCAGTGGAAGTAAACTAATGTATTTTTAATAATAATTTTTATCTGATTTAGGAGCACTTGCATAAGCATTAAAACATAAATATAATTAATTTTTTATTTATTTTTTTTTGAGACAGGAAAGTCAACCACTTTTTATGGTATGGTATAATTAATTCATAGAAATTTATTTCACAAAGATGTATTAAAAGAATTGTGCAATGAAATCGCACTTTAATTATTTAATTTTGAAACTTTTAGAAAGTCCCCTTTCATGGCATTTTTGGGCTATATATCTACTAGAAATTTTAAATTAAAAGAAAAACTTTGGTTAAAAATGCATAAAATTCGTAAAATGTACAAACAAGATTTATCTTGCAAATAATACAAAACATAATAAACAAAATTAAAGTTTTCTGATTCATTTAATTGGGGCTCAGTATAAAATCTTGAAAATAAATTAAGAATTTACAATGATTTAATGGATCTTGATCTAGAATGTAGTCGTTAAGTTTATGAATTAGTGTGTTAATATTATCAATCTGTTTTATTTTTTTTAACATTGTAAATAAATTTCTGAACAAGATTATTGCCCTAAAAACAGTTAATTTACCTAAAACAACTTTTTAATTACACCTTCTGAAGGTTTTATTGACCCATCTATTTCTTTTCTAATTAAAAGAAGGTATATAATTCTTTGAATTGTTGCAAACAGCCTTTAAAATACAGTAGAACCTTGATTATCCGGCCTAATCATAATATTTTTGGCCTAATTCTGTAATTGTTTTCCTTATTTTTTTTAGCGAAATAATTGCGTTTTTGGCTGAAAAATGTGCTAAAACGTTCAAGAAATACAATTTTTGACTTCATTTGTTGTTTTTTTGATATATTTTAGTTATATCTGGCGAAAACCTTGTTTTTTTGATACAAAAACGTTCTAGAAAGCATTTTCGACCAAATTTTGTAGTTTCTAGACAAACAAATTTTAAGCGTTTTTGGATAGAATTTTGCAAAATAAATGCGTCTCTGGTTCAAAAACGAAGTGAGTCGAAAGAATCAAGGTAAAAAACAATATCAATTTTGATTTAATTTTCTAATTTTTCAGCTTTTTTAAACAAAAGACCAAAAACAACACACTTTTTGGCCGATTTTATTGCATTTTTGGATTGTTTTTAACAAAATTTTGCGAAAATAAAAATCTCGTCAAAAAATTATATTTTAACCAATTTGGTCGTTTCTTGTTAAAAAACTTCTACTTGAAAAGCGAGAAAACTGCTCGAAAAAGATGCAAAAATATAATTTATAACTGATATTAATGCCATCTTAAAGTTATGAACAGTCAGCTTAAAAAAATAAAATTTACCGAAAAAGTTTCCAAATGATTTGGCAAAATCTTGTGAAAAGAAACAAGATTGCCAGTTAAAAAGGCAAAAATGACATCATTTTTGGCCTAATTCCGTGTTTTTAACGAAATTTAACAAAATAATTGCGTTTTTAGATGAAAAACGTGCTAAAACGCTCAAAAAATACAAAAAATAATATAATTTATAACTTCATTAGTTCATTTGTTGTTTTTTTGATTTATTTTACAAAAATCCCGTAAAAACCTTGAGTTTTTAATACAAAAACGTGCTAGAAAAGATTTTCAACCAAATTTTGTGATGGTTTCTCGACTTACTTACAAAAATTAGTTATTACTAATTATTATTAGTAAACTGAGCGAAACAAACAAATTTTAGCGTTTTTAAATAAGATTTTGCAAAGTAAACGAAGTAAGTCAAGCGAAACAAGCTAAAAATATTTATTAATTATTTTTTTTTTATTTAATTTTGTAATTTTTTTAGCCCGTTTAAAAACAATAATTTTTGTTTTTATTTCAAAAATGTGCTTATAGATGCTCGAAAACGGCAAAAACAACACACTTTTATTGAATTTGATGSCTATGCTTTTCACAACCAAATTGGAAAAAATCTTGTATAAAACACGATTCAAAATGGCTGTTTTTTTGCATACGTTTAGTAAAAAACACGCTCATTTTGCTACTTGGTTTTTTAAACATTTTTTTTATTAACATTTTTTAATTTTTTTATCATAGATGTATTTTGAAAGAGTTTTTATTTTGTTTTGATTTCCAAGTGTTACATTTTTCTTGGTATTTATTAGTTCATGTTATTTACTGATTTGTGTTATTTTATGCTTAACTTTTATAATTTTCATATTTTTTTATMTTTTATATTTTTTTAACTTTTACACTTTTATACTCCAATTTATAGTTTTAGAGTCTTATTTTGTATAACATGTTTTTGTGTTTGTAATAAAATATGTATTTTATGCGATGGGGTTGCCCCTTTCTAAAAAAAATTGTAACGACGCCCATGGTGATGTAAGATAAGAATACAGAGTTTATCACATGGTGCGCACGCAAGTCGTTCTTAAACCGATGAATTAATAAAAAAAAAATATTAATTACTCCAAATCTGCGATTATGAATTAAAATTCTCAATTAATTTAATTGCACAAGAAGATGGCGGACAAATAGCGGGAGTTTTCCCGCCAAATAGTCAGATGACGCAAAATGGCCWAATTTCAGGATCYACAAAAAACTTTTTTATGCACTTTTTCAGGTTCCTRTGAAAATGAGGATGAGATTAAACAAGTTATGTATTACGTAATTGACCGGCCGGCGCGGCATGCGCGCAACATGTGCCAAACAGGTTGCATCATGTTTCAGTTGATGCCRGAAAGTSGACGAGRGTAGTCGCAAAAATGGTGAACTACGACTTTAATAAAACTCTTTCCACTGAAAAACTGGTGCACCAAGTTGACGAAAACCCAGTATCGTGTTTCAAAATGCTTAAAAGTCTAGTGGTGAGTCTCCTRCTCGCAGGCAACGTCATCTACGTGCAATACCTCCTGTTTTACCACGACGAAATCAACTGGAGTTACCCCGATTCGGCATACCTAACAACCCTCGTGATTTATTTCCTCGTCGCTGCCACAAACACAACATTCAGCATCCGAATCCACAAAATGAGTGAATATTCCAATGACAATTGCAATTTTATCACAAAACTGATAGTGAGTGGAGTGCTAATCGCAATTCATGTTTACTTCTCCGTTTTCATGAATGCTACTCTTCAAAAAAGTGGKCAAAACCCAAGGAGTGGCTTCGATAAAGTTGTGACAATTCTAGTCGCGGTGGTGTTRCTATTTCTCCAAATTACGTCATTTCTGAACCACGTTTCAGTGGCTCAATATGCCATCCAGTGCAAATTTGCTACAAGTGACTTTAAGAGAAAAATTTTTTACTATCTTATGGTTAATGCAGAAGCTGATGCTGATCTAATCAGCACTCTGGATTGCTACCTACGAGCTGCACCTCAACTTATAGTCCAGTGTGCTACAATCGTCCACAATCAATGGAGTTTTGACCAAATCCCAAGTAAGTTAACAAATCAAATGGTTTAAAAAACAAAAGTCATGTCGTGAGAACTTGACAAATTTGATATCATTTTGTTCGTCTCAGTGAGACAAATCAAATGCACTAAAAAAAAATTCAAAAAGTCCACACACTTTGAACAAAATATTTTTTTTCTAATTTAAATGAATTTAAAATACTTTAATTTTAATAAATCATTACTCAATAACTATTAGGCCGATTTCCTTCAAATAAAGACCATTCTAAAGGGATGGCTTTGCCCTTTAGAATGATATGCAATTTGAAATTGAATATTGGCAAACTTTTCTTCGAACAGTGTTCGAAGAAGTTCGAAGTAAATCGAAGTAATCTAAGAAAAACCCTACGAGTAATTTTTTTTCTTCGTCACCATCGTGTAGAGCATCTTTTTATTAGTAAGAATCCAAATTTTTAAAATAATATACCGAGTAGTTTTTAAGATATGATTTGTTGAAGATAAGGTTTGCTATTCAGGTATTGCGCCATATAGGAGAAATGCTTGTTAATCTTTTTATAAAAGTATTTGTTTTAAGACTCTTGGTGGTTTTTCGTTAAAAAATTCTACTTGAAAAGCGAGAAAACTGCTCGAAGAAGATGCAGAAATATAATTTAATATTGATATTAATGCCATCTTATATGTTATGAACAGAGTCAGCTCAAAAAAATAAAATTTACCAAGAAAATTTCCAAATATTTTCACTAGATTATCGTGATATTTCACTCAATATGGCAAAATCTCGTGAAAAGAAACAAGATTGTCAGTTAGAAAGGCAAAAATGACATCATTTTTGGTCTAATTCCGTGTTTTTTACGAAATTTAACAAAATAATTGCGTTTTTAGATGAAAAACGTGCCAAAACTCTCGAGAAATACAAAAATAATATAATTTAAAACTTCATTAGTTTATTTGTTGTTTTTTTGGTTTATTTTACAAAAATCCCGTAAAAACCTTGAATTTTTAATACAAAAACGTGCTAGAAAGCATTTTCGAACACTGTTCGAAGAAGTTCGAAGTAATCTAAGAAAAACCCTACGAGTATTTTTTTTCTTTGTCACCATCGTGTAGAGCATCTTTTTATTAGTAAGAATCCAAATTTTTTAAATAATATACCGAGTAGTTTTCAAGATATGATTTTTTGAAGTTAAGGTTTGCTAATCAAGCATTGCTCCATGTAGGAGAAATACATGTTAATCTTACTTAAAATTGCATTTTTATATAAAGTATTTTGTTTTAAGACTCTTCTTTTGCTTAAAAATGATCAATTGCACCTTCTTTGTTCTAATTAGAATAAACAAAAACTGTTTGTTTACTTAAAACAAATAAAGAGTACCTGGGTACTAATTAAAGCAAATAAAGAGTTTTTTTTTTGTAAAAAATCATTGAGCAAAGAGGATTTAGAAGTTTAAGGCACGGGCCATAAATATAAGGGCAAATCTTTTTCAAATCAAATCACTTTCCATTCAGATTTCGATTTGTTCACTTTGTTCTAGCTTTTTGAACTTTTCATGAAAATGTTTTGAGCAAATGCTTTCTCATCACTTTCGAGTGTAGAATTTTTTTATCGAGAAACCACCAAATTGATTATATTGTTTTTTACGAGATTTTACTAAACAGGATTGAAAATAACAATTTACTTTATAATTTTCTCAAAATTTCGTGAAAAACCTAAAATTCAATAAAATAGGCCAAAAAGCGTGTTGTTTTTGCCGTTTTCGAGTATTTAAGCTCGTTTTTGAAATAAAAACAAATATTTTGTTTAAACAGGCTAAAAAATTACAAAATTAAATAAAAACCAAATTATTTTTAGCTTGTTTCGCTTGACTTACTTCGTTTACTTTGCAAAATCTTATTTAAAAACGCTTAAAATTTGTTTGTTTCGCTCGGTTTACTAATAATAATTAGTAATAACTAATTTTTGTAAGTAAGTCGAGAAACCATCACAAAATTTCGTCGAAAATGTTTTCTAGCACGTTTTTGTATTAAAAATTCAAGGTTTTTACGGGATTTTTGTAAAATAAACCAAAAAAACAACAAATGAAGTTTTAAATTATATTATTTTAGCACGTTTTCCATCTAAAAACGCAATTATTTTGTTAAATTTCGTAAAAAACACGGAATTAGACCCAAAATGATGTCATTTTTGCCTTTTTAACTGACAATCTTGTTTCTTTTCACGAGATTTTGACATATTGAGTAAAATATCACGATAATCTTGTAATCTAGTAAAAATATTTGGAAACTTTCTTGGTAAATTTTATTTTTTTGAGCTGACTCTGTTCATAACATATAAGATGGCATTAATATCAATATTAAATTATATTTTTGCATCTTCTTCGAGCAGTTTTCTCACTTTTCAAGTAGAATTTTTTAACGAAAAACCACCAAGAGTCTTAAAACAAATACTTTTATAAAAATGCAATTTTAAGTAAGATTAAGATGCATTTCTCCTATATGGAGCAATGCTTGATTAGCAAATCTTAACTTCAAAAAATCATATTTTGCCAATATTCAATTTCAATTTCTATATGGCAAGTCCATCCCTTTAGAATGGTCTTTATTTGAAGGAAATCGGCCTAATAGTTATTGAGTAATGATTTTTTAAAGTTAAAGTATTTTAAATTCATTTAAATTAGAAAAAAATTATTTAGTTCAAAGTGTGTGGACTTTTTAAAATTTTTTTTAGTGCATTTGATTTGTCTCACTGAGACGAACAAAATGATATAAAATTTGTCAAGTTGTCACGACATGACTTGTGTAATTGATTATTTTTTAGCCCTTCAAATATTTTTTATTTTCACCGCTTTTGCAATAATGCCCTGGTCCATCACCTCGTTTCAAGGGTCGATTAGAAAGCAAAAACGCACAAAAATGTCAACAAAAGCCAAAATCTTTTACTTCATTTGGCATTTTTTCGTCATTGGTCAGTCTGTAACGCAACATTTACTTTTTTTTTCATTTTTTTACGTTTCAGGGTCCCGCATTGCCAGTGTTGCCGCTGTTGCGGCTTTCTGGCCAACCCAGACCAAAATCCTCACTGTGATCCATTGGGCTGTGATGACCACGTGGCTCCTAATCACGATTAAACCAACCCAATTTTACAACTTTAGCAATTTTTGGCATTTTCTCTTTTGTTCAGTTTTCGGAGCTGTGTATTTTTTTAATCCAGTGAATCTCGGAAATCAATCAACACGAGCCAAATACTCTTGTTTTTATCTCATTATGTTTGTGGAAAATCTCGTTGCTAATGTTGGTTGGTTTGTTGAAGACAGTGAACTTACTCTTGTTTGGAAAATCGCGTTTGTTGCTTTTAATCAGTTCATTTTTGGGGCTGGGATTGGTTTTATGGTAATTTATTACGTGAAATTCCACCCTAGAAATTCCAATGATAGTACAAACGAGGGTGAGTTTCACAATGAAACTCAGGAGACTGCAGTTTAAAATGTGATGTAGAATAGGTAACAATTGTGTTCAATATTCAATGCTCACTTAATTTTAATTACTGCTGTGCCATTACTAACATCACAAATAATGTGATAAATATCGTTGGTGWTGTTACCTGTTGCTATTTTTAATAAGTAATTTATATAACTTATTTCCAGTTGAAATTATAAAAATTAGATTTTTTATAGTTATGTTCTTTAAAAGTATATCAAATATTAGGTACTAGATTTTTTATTTTTATATTATGACAATGGATTGTGAAAGGTTTGACTTCAAATATTTGTAAGTAAATAAATTTGTTTTTTTTTTGAAAACTTGTGTTTTTTTTTGATCGATTATTTGTAAAGGAAAAAATGTATTAACTACAGTAGAGCACCGGTTATCCGGAAACAAAATCGATTTTAAAAATTTTGTTTTATCCGGAAGAATTTAAACCGGAATCGTACTTATTTCTTTTAATGCCATTCTGAGAAGCGATAAAAGTATTTTTTTTTCGTGCTTGGAGTATTACGAATAGTCTGTCAGTGTATGTAGAAAATATGTCATTGAAGTTGAGAGATAAATTGTATAGAGTAAATGTAAAAAATGGTTGTTTCGTTAGAAAAAAAGCTTGAAGCTAAGTAGTGTGAAAATTATTATTTCTTTAATGAAACTACATTAAAATTTTCGTTTTAACCGGAATGAAGGGTCTAGTCTGTTCATAACTTACATAAGATGGCATTGATAAATAATATTTTTATATCTTTTTCGAGTCTATTTTCCATGTTTTTCAAATAGTATTTTTTTACGAGTTTTTACTAAATTGAATTGTCTTTTTTGAAAGCTTTAGTATTATTTATGCAAATTTTCGTTAAAAATGCAATAAATAGGCCAAAAAGTGTGTTGTTTTTGCCTTTTTCGTTTATGCAAGTTTTTTTTAAACAAAAAATTTTGTTTAAACGGGCTAAATTACAAAATTAAATCGAAATTGATATCATTTTTAGCTTGTTCGCTTGGCTTACTGTGTTTTTGAACCAGAGGCTCATTTATTTTGCAAAATCTATCCAAAAACGCTTAAATTTTGATTGTTTCACTCGATTTAACTAATTTTTGATCAAAAGTGAGTCGAGAAACCACAAAATTTGGTCGAAAATGCTTTCTAGCATGTTTTTTTTTGCTAAAATAAACCAAAAAAAAAACAAAATAAGTCAAAAATTATACATATTACTTTTGCATTTCTAGATCGTTTTAGCCCGTTTTTAGCTAAAAACGCAATTATTTCCCTAAATTTCGTTAAATACAAGGCGAAAAATTAGATTAAAACATAATTTATTTGCAGTTGAAATTATGAGAATCAGATTTTTCATAGTTAGGTATGTTCTTTAAAAGTACTTATATCAAATATTAGAGACTAGTTTTTTTTTATATTATGACAATGGATTGTGAGAGTTTTGACTTTTAATATACCTAAGTAAATAAATTTTTTTTTTTTTTTTGAAAACTCGTGTTTTTTGTAAAGTGCGTGTTATCCGGAAACAAAACAAGAATTTGGTTCCAGACTCCGTTTAATCTGGAATTGTCTTTATTTTTTGAGTTTTAACCATTTTTTTGTGTTTGGAGTATTAAACGAAGACAATTTTAGCAATTTCTGACATTTTTTTTATTCTGTTCAGTTTTCGAAGCTGTATATTTTTTTTAAATCCAGTGAATCTCGAAAATCAGTCAACAATTTTTGATTTTGTGTAAAAATAATTAAATAAATCAAAGATTTTGAGGGAAATTGCCAAAATGTCGGCCATTTTCTTTTATATGATAATTAATTAGGGATTTTAATATTAATTAGTTAGGGAATTTATGGTTTACTACACCTGCGCATGTGCTACTTGATAAGCAAACTTCTTTCTCATCAACTTCATTTATCTCTGTTGTTCTGTGATCAACTATCATTTCGTAGCCAACTCTTGACGCGAAAGGTGTTAGATTAGTGCTCTCCAATGGTCTACTACCTGTTTGTCAGAGAAGATCCCACGGAGTTCAAGAGCAAACTTCGGGAAGAAGTACCGAAAAAAAAACTTTTTTTACTGTTCATGATTGCACTTTATCAATCATACAGTATAATCATGGCACAAATTCAGCTTTTTACCATCACTTTTACGGAAGATGAAATTTCTAACCTAACTATGTGTTTCATTTCTGGAGTGATTAGTTTCATCTTTAATGCCAGAATCTCAAGATTGAAGCAGGAGAATCATTCGAAAACAATTATACTTTTGACACTGATTTTCGTGTCGATAAACATATTTTTATCTTATTATTACCACATTGACGTTATCATGCATTTGGTTACGTCATTATTACTCTTCCTGCAACTACCAAATCTCTTCCGCCATGTTTTTGTTTGTAAATATGCGGTTCAATTCAAGTTGGCCACTGATGACGAAGAAAAGAAGAAACTCTTCTGCTTGATGGTCGATGCTGAGGCCGATGTTGGGATTGTCTACTTCTTGGACTGCTTCCTGAGAAGTGTGCCCCAAGAAGTCATGCATATGGCCCGTATTTTGAGTCGGCGTAGTGGCATAGACGCCATCTTGTGTAAGTTATYAGCAGAGTTGCCAGCCCAAAGTTTATACAAAGATTATAACAAGTTTTGACTGGTGAAAACTAGTGTTGGGCATAATCGATATATTTTCATAATCGAATGATCATTCGAAATATCGATTTTTGAGATAWGAATGATGAATGAAAAATATCTCGCATCAAAGAACAGATAGATAAAGAAGCGACAGCGCCGTGTTAATTTAAGGAAACAAATTATGCCGATTGCGCCTCTAGTGATCGGATGTGTAACTAAGCGCCATGTTGGAATGCCCCGCGTAATTTGAATATCTGGGTATTTTATGTACTTATTATAGTTTGCG